GGAATCAGAATGTTTTTACAATCTGAGTTTTTTTGTTCTTTTTTTTGTTGGAATCAGAGTGTTTTTAGGATCTGAAGTTTGGAATTTTAGAGAGAGAATTTTTGAATCTGAAGTAACTGTTCTGACTGTCGCTCGTTTGCTTTCAAATTTTGCGTAGTGCCTGATGATGAGGGCAGTTTTTTTTTTGGTCAAAAAAAGAAAAAAAAAGAAAAGAGCGACGGCCTTGAGATATCATTGTTTAACTCACCTGCCCCAGATTAATTCAGAATTTCTTTATTTTTCTGGTCATCTGGTGGTGTTATCTGGATTCGAACTCTGGTCTGCATTTCGACAGTTCATTGGTGGACCAACTGAGCTAGGGCCCATTGGTGATGATCAGGGAAGGGTGCTTTTTTTTTTTTTTTTTTTTTTGCATGATAAGTTGTCATTGGATGGAAGGATAGTTGGGATGTGTTTTAAAAAAAAAAAGGATAGTTGGGTTGGATGCCTTTTTAACAAAGGATAGTTGGTATGATTGTTTTTACATTAAATAAACGGTAGTGAGGATGGATGTATTCAGATTAAAAAAAAAGGATAGTTGGGATGGATAAAAAAAAAAAAAAAAAAAAAAAAAAAAAGAGGATAGCTGAGATGGTGTTTGCTCGCCGTTGCGGTGGTGTTTCATGCGGTGAGTGATCCGTTTCGAACTGTAGATGGTTAGCTCATTCAAATTTGGTCCTGTTGATGAATGTGATAATGCATCTATCTATCTATAAACGTACCACATTCATTCAGAGCACCAAATGCATCTGGTCACTGTGCTATGCAGACATAAACAGATACAGGTACCAATGGGCACAAAGTGAAAGGTTGCTTTCCCAGGCAAAGGGCAAAAAAAGGGGAGAGGGGAGGGAATGGATTGATTGTATGATCTGATGAAAGCTGAACTACTTGATGAATGTAACTGTCTATCCAGAAAGATCCATTTTGGTGGATCCATGGTGGATCTGTGAACTTGTATGTGACTATTGAAGGGGTGTATCTGACTGCATGTCCTTCGAAATTCATTTGGAGGCCCCCAGATAATCATTGGGGTAATTGCGAAAATAGCGCCTTTTGGACGTTTGGCTGCTTTCGCAGCAGAAATGTTGTATGGGTCTGAAAGATCTATTTTTGCACGGAAAGTGGGACCCCGGCCCACAAATATCATTGCTGCTGTGAAACTACCAGGACCTATAAAGCTGCAACGAAAGATATATTTTTGCAACGGAACTTGGGCCCCGCCAATATTTGTGCTGTGGAACTACCACGACGCGCTATTTTTGAAACTTGCCCTTATTTTATTGTTTCATGGGGCCTCGCTTCGCTACTCTCCGCATACACAAAAGACGAAAAAATATAGCGGTGTACCTTTCCATGCTGTAGCGGAGGACTCTGTCTCGTTTTGCACGTTTGGAAAGTGGCGGAGCGAGGCCCATGAGGTCTATATTTCAACAGTTCATGGGGGTACCAACCGGGGTAGGCTCGTTGGTAGGGTTCGTGGGTACGCGCAGGTTTTCTTTCCACATGGGAAAAACATAAAAATACAAATGCAGGCCCACGACCTGTCAATGCTCCTTTTCTCTTGGCTGATTGAAACGACGGGGAGAAAGAAACAAAAAGCAGGCCGACCCCGTTTTCCTTTTTTCTTCCAACAAAAGCAGGCCGACCCCATTTTCCTTTTTCCTTCCAACAAAAGCAGGCCAACCCCACTTTCTTTTCTTTTCTTTTGATCTTTTCTTTCGATCTTCACTTTCTGGCACAAATCCTCCAGGATTCATTTGGGGGGGGGGGGAATACCACCGTGCCATGTAAAATTCCAGAAACGCATCAGACATGCTGCCCGCGGACGGCGCTCGGCAACGGTACTTGTTAAATGCCGAAGTGCAACAATCCCAATTCTTGGTCGTCAAGATCACAGATCCGACGGCCACAACCCCGAAAGAAAGTTGGGCAGGTACAGAAGACCATAGCCAAAGAGAAATGCGTAAGAGACTTAAAGAGAGTAGATAGGAAAAGAAAGACCCAAAAAACAACGAGTCATACGAACGGGCCTAGCTCAGTTGGTACACCAATGAACTGTTGAAACATGCACCCAAGTTTGCATCCAGATGCAGTCAGAT